TATAGATCCATGAAGTGAGTCCTAAAGATACAAGTAATAACGGGTTCTTTTAGTGCAAGCACTGAAACTTCTGGTTTCCTAACTGCGTTGAATGAAGATATTAAAGCCCTATCTCTGTCCTTTATAAAAATTTCTCATGAAGTTAGAGCCAACCCCCCCCCCCACTTTTCTTGTATTATTTATGTTTCCCGTATTATTCTGTCACACTCAGTCAGGCAAAGGCTTGCCTTGAATAGGCATTTTATTCCAGATGACCACAGGTGATGATTTAACAACTGTTTGATCTCGGTACCCATCTACCAGCTAGTCCAGTCACTAATGGTAATCAGGTTCTCCTGCCTTTAAACCCAATTAAATCAGATAGCCAATCCCCAATTCCCAAGGCCTTAGTCTGTGGCCCACATCCGCTTCTGGTAGCGTATTCTGAACCGGTCAGGGTTCAACAACAGAATTCACTCCAGCTGGTGTAAGCAGAAAGGGACTTAGGACAGGGTGCTAGTTTATAAAATTTCCAAGAGTGCCAGAGAAACAAGCTTAGTTAAGTACCTACTAGATACCAGGTACCATCAAGGCCCCAGAGGCACGGTAGTCAACGAGACAAAGTCCCTGAATGGAAGGAAAGCACAGGGAGGGGAGGAGAATGAACAATGAACACAAAGATCTGGAGGCGCAAAGAAGCCGGGCATGCTCAGGAAATGGTGGAAACCAGTGGGGCCGGGGTGAAGTATCTGTGGGAATACAGGAGGAGACAGAAGGGGAGGAGGTTAACCGAAGTGGTGGTGTGAAGGGGATGGCAGACTGGAGTCGAGATGGGCTTGTAGTCTCGGATAGCAAGGGTTGACTGAGGACTCACTTAGTCTCGGGTACTGACAGTGAACTCAGGTTTTCCCCCTGTGAAGTTATATAAGGAATTAAAGCAAAGCTGATGAGTCCTGATGTCCACAGCAGGACCCCTCTGAGTGACGGAGAGAGCCAGTCCCCCAGCAATCAAGTCGGCATTCCCACCTCGAGACACCCTTCTTCAGTCTTGAGCTAGGATGTCTAGTTTTTGCTCTCAGGCCTTCACTGTGCCTTGTAGTAGTTGTCTCTGCCCTCACCCAGCCTATAATATTTAAACACCGAGTGTCAGCTGACTTCTTCTGAAGGTTTTATTTCACCTCAAAGCACTTTGAAACATGCTGCCTGTGGCTGAATCATGTTGCAATCCTCTATCTTTCTGGAATGAGCCCTGTGCGAATCTGTCTTCTCTCTGATAACTATCTTCTCTTTGTAAGATCGGTGGTATGTGTTTGTAGCTGGTATTTTGTACATACGCTGTGTTGCCTACAATGGAACCTGTCTTCTCGGAGTCGAAGCTGTTCTGTTTCGAGCAGAGCCATGACCCGTTCCCATGAGAAGCCACGAAACAAAAGTTCCCCTTCCACAGCAAGAGCTCGGGACTTTGCTACGGCATTCATTCGTGCCCGGATCCATGTTATCAGCGCTAGGAACCTCAGTTCCACCAGTCTCTGAACCCTCGCCCCTATCTTGTTTCCCGATTCCAGGACTTGATACCCCGGCCCTGCGGTGCTTAGACCCCGCCCAGCATTCCGTGTCTACGTGTTTCTCTTGCAGGCCCTTGCAAGGCCTGAAGTCCATTTCCCTTCCCTCCACCGCCACCTCTCTGACCAACATCACCAGATCTCACCTGCATTATTAAATCTGCCCCCCTCATCAACCTCCCTGTCTCCATTCTGCCCACAGAAATCCACTCTCCATATTACGCCACTTGCCTTCTTGAGTCCTTTCAATGACTTTCCTCTAGGCTTAGAGTAAAATCCAAACTACTTACCCAGATCTCTAAGGCCCTTGGTGGTTAGAGATCTAACAGCCTCACCAACTTCACTCATTTTGGCCACACTGGCCTCCTAATTGTTTCTTCTACCCTCCCCGTTCCTTCTCACCTTGGGGCCTCTTGCTGTTCTCTTGGGGCTCTTCTTCCTACAGGGTCACTGGCCTCACCTGATCTCAGACCCTCATCCTAAACCTATGGAGATATGAAAGCCCAGACTCTTAGGAGATAGTCTTCCTAATAAACTTAAGTGGCATTGTTCCATTTTTACACATGAGGAAAACTGCAGGCACAAATAACTTGCCTGGGCTTCTAAAACTTGGAAGCAGTGCAGATGGGATTTGAACCCTGCCTCATAGGGCTCAAAATGGCTGTACTATTCTTCCTGTCTCTTATAAAAACCTTTAAGCAGTGTTGTCTCCAGCATGGCTCTAGGCAAAGAGGGGAGAAAGATCAGCTTATATCAGAATTCAGTGTAGGGGGCACCTGCGTGGCTCAGTTGGTTAAGAGTCTGCCTTCAGCTCAGGTCATGATCCCAGGGTCCTGGGATCGAGCCCCGCGTCAGGCTCCCTGCTCAGCGGGAAGTCTGCTTCTCCCTCTCCCACTCCCCCTGCTTGTGTTCCCTCTCTCGCTGTCTCTCTGTCAAATAAATAAAAGAAAAACAACCTTAAAAAAAAATATTCAGTGCAGGAAATAGAAATGGCTCTAGACACTTCCAGCAGAATGGGATTTAATATTGAGAATTAGGGGCTTTCACAATATTAATAATACTTAATTAGAAGAGTTGGAGTCAAAGGGCCGCCACCAGACCATGGATATCAAGAATGTGCTGTCATAACTGTCACCTGAAGTTAGAAAACTGCCCTGAGAAAAATACCTCCATGCACTTGTTGCTCTTTCTCGGCATGTACCACAGCTTTGCATGGTGAGGTCTTGTAGCTGGTTCGATGCCTGAGTCATACAGAGGCTGTCCCATCCCTCTGTAAGACCCACAACAGCTGCAGGATGAGTTTAGTTTTTAAAAGTGATCTAAACATACGATTTAAATTTCCAAATATGATAAAACATTAAGGCCAAGTAATGGGTATGTTTGGAATATTCGATCACTTTAAACTTTTTAAATAAAAAAATCTTACAGTAGACCACAAAAGACATCTTGTGTCTCAGATTTTCGAAACTCTGCAAACAGCCACCCCATCCCCATGAAGAGGGTTGAGAAACAAACAACACATGGGTAAAAATATTTGCAGCACAAATGCAGACTCCAGTATATATTGAGTCTTCATGAATCAATTTTGTTTTATTTTTTTTTAAGATTTTATTTATTTATTTGACAGAGAGACAGCGAGAAAGGGAACACAAGCAGGGGGAGTGGGAGAGGGAGAAGCAGGCTTCCTGCTGAGCAGGGAGCCCGATGCGGGGCTCGATCCCAGGACCCAAGCCGAAGGCAGTCACTTAACCAACTGAGCCACCCAGGCGCCCATGAATCAATTTTACAAAGGGTAAACAGGCCAGTCAAAAAAGACATAAAGGCCATGAACAGGAAATACTGAAAAGAAGACATGTAATGTCCAATAATCATGTGAAAACAAAAGTCACTAATAGTTAATGAAATGCCAATGAAAACCAAAATGAGCTATCTTTTTAGTTTAACCACATTTTGGCAAACATAACATTGGCAAAACTGGGTGTTGGCAAGACAATGAGGAGATAGGGACTTGAATGCACAGATGTTCGGTGGGCAATATGCAACTGAAGTCGCCATCATGGGACAGTGATGTGAGCCATGGAAAGATATCAACAGAAAGTTAAAGGGAGTGTAATTGCTATAATTTATAGAGATGGTTACACAAAGTAGACTACTCCCAGACAAAATGTGAGTTGCCCAGATCCCCAGTTCTGCAATGGAAAATACCTTCCAGTATTTCCAGGATCCTACAGGGACAAGAAGCACCCAGCCTCTCATTCTTATGGGACATGTGTTCCTTCTGGCCTCCCCTGGCTGTGTACCTGCCTGCTCACCAGGTGTAAGAAACTGTTACACAATTACAGCATGTACTCGAGTGTGTTTACCACCATAACTGCTGGAAGTCAGTCTTCAAGTATGCCTTTCTTCCTGCAAAACCAGGTTTTAGGTCTATCTGAAGGTCGTATCTGCAGGATCCAAATGTAACATGTGCCTACCATTGGTCCTAGAAATCCCACTTCTAGAACTTGCCTTAAAAAGATAATTGCACAACTGCGGTAGAATGGACAATTACAGATATTCATTGAAATGTTGTTTCTAGGAATAAAATTGAGTCAACCTAATTGCTCACCAATGGGAACTAAGTAAGTAAATTATGACACATCCATATAATAAGACCATGAAATAGATGTGAAAGCATTGGTATTTGTACCTCTATGCATACAAGCTTCCTGAAAGAGGGGGGAGTAGTTGCAGAGAATGAAATGTGTGACTAGCCAGGTATGAGAAAGAGTTCTTCATGAATATACTTTTATACTCTTCAAATTTTGAGCCATATGAATGCATTGATCTAAAATTAAAGGGGCACCTGTGTGGCTCAGTCTGTTAAACATCCGACTCTCGATTTCGGCTCAGATCATGATCTCAGGGTCATGAGATTGAGCCCCACATTGGGCTCTGTGCTGGGCACGGAGCTGCTTAAGACTCTTCCCTCTCCCTCTACCCCTCTCCCAATCCTGCTCTCTCTCCCCCTCTCTAAAAAAAAAAGCTAAAGTTAAAAAGTAAATGCAGAGGAAAAAAAAGTAAATGCAGAGAGAGAGGCAGAGAGAGGGAAAGAAACAGAGGTGCCGGAAGAGAAAGCCACTTACACTACAGCAAGAAGTTTGGGGTAGCAAGTTTTGAGTCAACACTTTCTATTCCTTTACTTTGCGATACTGCTTGGATTTTTGTGATAAGCATATGCCATTTCTACAGATCTAAAATTTTCAAATTACGAAAGAAAATTATGTATCTATAATGAAAACTACACAGTAAAGCAATTTTCATGAACACATTCAAAAAACTATCTCCAGCACACCCTTTTCACCATGTTTGTTGGCCACGGCAAGCCCTACCCACTCCCTTTCTGGTCCCAGCTCCCTCTCCTGAGCCCCCCCCCCATCTTAAGAGTTTTCATTTCCTTTTTAATTTTCTTTCCCCCAGAGTTGCTGATGGAGTGATCAAAAGTGTATTATGGCAAACACTTCAAGCTCTTAATTTCTGTCATAAACATAACGTAAGTAACATTTTCCAACATACTTGTCAATTTCTTCTTTTCTTCTAAATAGCTCAGGGATCACCTTAAAGAGCTAAAGATGGAAGGAAAGGAAGAAAGTCACAGAATATGGGAAACGTAATCCATGGCTTTTTTTTCAAATTTCCATTTGAATTCCATTCCAAATTATTAATTCCTTATGAATTAAAAGCTTGTGTAAACTCAGTGTTCCTTTTGCCATCCTACTGGTGATTCCTGTGACCATTTTTAAACTGGGTTAAATGAGTTTGCTGGATAGCAGTGGTGTAACTCCCCATGGCACTTGATTTAATTTTGTTTTTATGTTTTTTGAGTCTTTTATTCTTTAAGAGGCCCCCTTCCAGTATCCCTTTAAAAAATTTTTTTTAGCATTAGTTTTTTAGACCCATAGTTCTCAAACTTGAGCATGCATCAACCCCCCTGGAGGTCTTATTAAGATACAGTTTTCTGGGCCCACCCCCAGAGTTTCTGATTCCATAGGTCCGGGTTAGGGCCCCAAGAATTTGCATTTCTAACATTTGCCCGGTTAATGCTGAAGCTGCTGGTCCAAGAAACACACTTTGAATACTACTGTGTTCTAGAAATCATTGCGGCTGATTGCTTCCTGTGTGTCATTTAACTTGTTCTTTCACCTATATTTCCAGTAAATTGGTATTTGTGTCTAGAAACTCGATCATTTCAGGTTCAGTTTTTCAGGCAAGAATATTTCATATGTAATGCTGTACATGTCTTCTTGCGTCAACATCATTAGGCTTATGTCAGCTTGTCCCACTTTTGATCATCTTGAAATAGATAAGTGGCTTCGGGAGCTTAGTTTGATCCTCTCCACTATGAGTTTCCTGGTCAACCTTTTTACTTGATGGCTTTAGCCTTCATTGATGATAATTGCCTAGGTCTAGTATTTCATTAGGGTTAAAAGATGGTGATTTTCAAATTCTATTATTTCTTCTGCATTTATTAATTTGAATTCTATGAAGAAGAACCTACCCTCACAGACTCTGGCTACTGTAAAATACAGTAAGATAAAGGTGTGATTATTTCCCTTGTTTGTCAATACTCAGAGTGATAAGTTGGTATCTTAGCAACCTCCAAGAATGAACAATGAAGGTTTTAGGGGAACGTAGGCATCATTACAAACTCATGGATCTTATATATTTGATATGTTCAATCCTTTGCAATGATAGTTCTCTCTGATGTTCAAATTATCCCATCTTGGGCCAGTGGGAGCTTCTTTAAGTTGGCTTCTGGGAACTTTTGCTATAATGATAGTTTTTTGTTTTGTGTGTGTGTGTGTTTTCTTTTTTAAAAAATTTTTTATTGTTATATTAATCACCATACATTACATCATTAGTTTTTGATGCAGTATTCCATGATTCATTGTTTGTGTATAACACCCAGTGCTCCATGCAGAACGTACCCTCCTTAACACCCATCACCAGGCCAACCCATCCTCCCACCCCCTCCCCTCCAGAACACTCAGTCTGTTTCTCATAGTCCATCGTCTGTCATGGTTCATCTCCCCCTCCGATTTTATAATGATAGTTTTTAAAAAATAACTCTAGACCTTTTGAGTTGGTGCCTAGACAGAGGCAATGCCTAGGCAAGGATACAGACTACCATATGGTAAATTTTGATGCCAGCATAATGTCTATCATAGTCTAGGATTGCTGGAAAAGAATGTAAAATCATGGAAATAAATTTCAATACTTAGAGGAAGCTTCCTTTAGTTTTAAGAAAGTCAAAGAAGAGTTTGTAGGATCAATCAAAAGCTTATATTTTCTATTAATAAAGTATTGAGTTGGGGCACCTGGGTGGCTCAGTTGGTTAAGCATCAGACTCTTGATCTCAGCTCAGGTCTTGATCTCAGGGTTGTTAGTTCAAGCTCCGCATTGGGCTCCATGCTGGGTATGGAGCCTACTTTAAAAAAAATAAAAATAAAAAATATAGAGAAATACTGTTCACAAGATACATAAGCCTGGTTTTCATGATGCAAATGCTTTCAAATACTTACTAAAGATGTTGCTGAATTAAAACCACATCCCAGGGCACCTGGGTCGCTCATCAGTTAAGTGTCTGCCTTTGGCTCAGGTCATGATCCCAGGGACCTGGGATCGAGTCCCACATTGGGCTCCCTGCTCAGCAGAGAGCCTGCTTCTCCCTCTCCCTGTGCTGCTCCCCTTGCTTGTGCTCACTCTCTCTGTCAAATAAATAAATAAAATCTTTTAAAAAAACTAAAAAAATAAATAAAACCATGTCTCTGTTACTTTCTACCATGCTATCAGAGGTATTAAAGTTTACCTAAGGTTCTTGTAGGAGTCTTATGGGTAATTAAAATGATTTTTTGAAGTTCTATTTACCATAAGTGTTTGTCCTTTATCTCTATATAGTCAGACACTTTCCTGTGTACTAGGTTATAAACTTGAATGCAACGTCTGGGCTGATTTATCTTTGTATCTCTTCAACACCTAGCATAGATCTTTTTATATAACAGGTGCTCGCTCAATAAGTATTTATTGAATAGCTGCATGAATGAATGAATGAATGAATGAATGAATGAATGAATGAATGAATGAAGTCAATCAACTTACCTACTGATTGTGACTTACTATTCCCAGCAGACCCAAACATTATTATAGCTCAATGCAACTGCCATCATTTCTCTGCTTGGAACAACACGTTCTGTATCTTAAGTTTTAAAACCTCCAATTGATAACCCATGACCTCTATTAAAAATGGATAATTTTTCAAACTTCCCTCCCCCAACATGGGAATTACTTCTGAATTCCGGTTATCTCATTTTCTTATGCTATGGTAAGCCTTTGTGTATCTTTTTATCTATTACTAAAATGCATGCAAAGGAAAAAAATTAGGTCATATGTAAGCTGTTACAATACTACATCTAAAACCTTTATCCTCTCCTTATTTTTAAAGGAACCCTCATGATACTCTCAAAGAATAGAAAACGCAATCTGACTCAATGGTGTTGCTGAAAATTCACAGCTTTCAACCTATGGAGACCATGACTACCTTATTATCTCCAGAGTGGTGATCCTAACCAAGACAAGGAAGGTTAAAGTTATAAGGGATTAGGCCTTATTAATAGGGATCACCTTGGAGCTCATTAGAAATGCAGAATTTCAGGCCCACCTTAGATCTACCGAATCAGAATCTGCATTTTAACAAGATCTCCAGGAGATTCATGTGCACATTAAATTTTGACAAGCACTGGATTTAAGAAAGTACCTATTCATTTTGTTTTTTCTTACCCTCTAATATTGCTAGAATGAGTTAACTAAAGTGACCCATTTAGTATCATAATGAACTCATGGATTTTTATATACCTGATATATTAGACAAAAAGAAGTCCATTGCAAAATGACAAAACTACAGTGACTTCCAAGATATATGTATCAGGCTGCAATATCCATCATCATCTTGTTCATACTAATGTTCTGGTTGTGAAGAAGGAGGTCCTTTTCCTCACTGCTGTATCAGTAACCATCTCTAAACCTCAAGAGGACAACCGTCTCAGATAATAGAGACCGATTATTTAGGGGCACCTGGCTGGCTCAGTTGGTGGAGCGTGCAACTCCTGATTTTGGGGTCGTGAGTTCAAGCCCCACACTAAGTGTAGAGATTACTTTAAAAATAAAATCTTTAAAAAAAAAAAAACTTATTTGATCAGGTATTACAAGAAGCAATTTGTGAAAGTTCTGGAGTTTCTTAAAGTTGAGGGTCACGGTACCTCTTCTTGTTGACTTGTGAGCCAGTAAAAATGAGATTACACATTAGCCACAGTAACCCAACTTGAACATTTTCTAAAAGCTGTGTATGCAACCCAAGTTATTTAAAAACAAACAAACAAACAAAACCCTGGTTGTGTCACCTGACTTGCAGGCTTCTTGGTGTTTGGTGGAAAGCAAACTGACTGCTCGAGGCCCTGCCAAGTGTGCACAGAGTGTGGCTTTGCAGCAGAGAAAGCGAATGTTGTAGGATTAAGCGGCTTCCGTTCTCTGTGCTTGACTTCCTACTGTTCCAGGCATTTTTACTCTCTTTTGCTTTCTTCAGTATCCTCTTCCTCTTCATTAATAGCTGCATCTACACCAGTAAGTTTTCTGTTTCTTTGGGACACATCAGTACTTCATTTGCCTTGGTATTTTTTTGGTTGGAAAATAAATTGCTAAAAATTTTGCATGGATTTGCACTAAGTCCAAAAATCATATTTAAGTAGACCAAAAGACAAGTGTCAGTGTAAGTCCATTTGCCTGATAATGCCACACGTAGTCCAGAAATTTTAGAATTTGATGCAGACTCTTTTGAGGAACATAACCTAATCCTAGTAAATAACCAACTATTGTGACTAGGACTCATAGAGTGTTAATCCAAGTTTCATAAATGTGTTGCTTAAACGGTAGGACCTCAAAACTATGTTGGTTTATATTATAGCAATGTATTTTTTTAAAATTAATATCAAAGGCCTTAGGACTCTAAAGAGGCCTAGAAGTTTCTTCTGTTGGTCATACAAATTATGAGACAGTTGACAATAATTGAGACTAACTAGGAACAAGCTTCTGTTACCACTGCCATTTTTGTGACCTAAAATGAATTTAGGACTCAGCCTTTTATCTTCCCAGATAGCTACCATAGAAGCAAAGAAAAATTACTTCAGAATTGTCAGTGTGGCAGGAATATATACAGGGACTGATAGCACAGCAGAGGAATGAGGCAAAAGGAGCAGATTACTGTGACAGTCAATCCAGAGACCCTGTCAGTGGTCACCTGCAGTCACAAGATTGTGGTAGGAATGAAATAATTCACGTGCAAGGACTTGAAAAGGACGGAGCTCTAGAGGAAGGCTGAGCTGCAGAAGAACAACAACATCAGTTTTATCCGTTGGCTTGTCTGGGAGGAAGAACTGGAAAGATAAAGTACTGAAGAATAGGGCCTGAGCTGTGTTCTTGGAGGGCCTCCACACCATGGAGCAGCCATTTCTGGAAGAACAAGGAGTGCGGCTCATGCAGCCTGCCTGCCTCCTTACCCCAGTGTGGCCCTCGCACATCCAGCAAGGAGTACGTGCTCCATTCAGGGTCTTTACAGTGATGCAGCAAGTTGTAAGGTCTCTGCCTACAGAGGAATAACGGGAGCCTCTGTGAGGGGGGAACGCCTCACGGGGGTGTCCTGCTCTCCCAGGACAGACCCTGGCAGACAGCGCTGTGTGGTCATATCCCAGGAGAGCTGCTAATCCTCCCAGGTTAGCTTAGTGCTGAGGAAGAATGGCAGTGGTCCTCGTCCCGATGCTGAAGGCTCAGTGTCTCTTGAGAAGTAGGTGACTGTACCTCCCAGCTTACCCAGGACAGTTGTGGTTTGGTCCTGTTTTCCTGGCGTAATTAATAATAGTGCTCCTTTCATACATCCCAATTTGGGCGATAAATAATATGGTCACTCTAGTTACAAGCCAATTTTTAAGCAAATTTTCTTTGTTATCATTCAAATGTTTTTCCAATTTCTCAAATCTGCAATACTTATTCAACCTGAATTGAGATTCTTGGGCGGCATCAAGATACATCAAGTCTAATCTCATCTAGGGCTTTACCTCTTGCAGTTTAAGTAGAGACCAGTAAAATGTGGAAGAAATAATTGTATGACACGACCTCAAAAAAAAAAAAAAGTTTTCTTATCCAACAATTATAATTTCAATTTCTTTGCTTATATAGCAGCATTTTGATTTTTCTTCTTTTGGTGTGGTAAGATTTATGAGTGAAAATTTGCCAATTAAAGTTCTTTTAGAAAAATGAAGGAAAAGCATATTGTTCTTATCTCATGTTTATCATCTAGACTAATATTTAATGTTTATTATGCTTTCATTTTGATGACTCAGAGAAATAATCAAATATTATCTTACAGTGTATTCACAGAGACGTAAAACCTGAAAATATTCTAATAACTAAGCAAGGAATAATCAAGATCTGTGACTTTGGGTTTGCACGAATTCTGAGTAAGTAGCAATTTTTCCCTTATCCAATTCAGATGATTATGAAGTGATATAAACTCTTACTTTAGATATTGAACAGATGCTAAGTGTGACAGACATTGTGACTATTCAAAGAGGAAAAGTTCACTTTTACCTTTTAGCCAGTACCTTAGTGTGCACTGCACCTCCACTCCACTCCACTCCACTCCAATTTATTGGATGTCATATTTATGTGCTTTGCCTCGTAGAGGAAAAGAGTTATAAGATGCATTTCTGCTCTTCATGCACTTACAATCTGAAGTAAAAGAAACAAAAGAAGGGGGGCGCCTGGGTGGCTCAGTCGTTAAGCGTCTGCCTTCGGCTCAGGTCATAATCCCAGGGTCCTGGGATCGAGCCCCGCATCGGGCTCCCTGCTTGGCGGGAAGCCTGCTTCTCCCTCTCCCACTCCCCCTGCTTGTGTTCCCTCTCTCGCTGTGTCTCTCTCTGTGAAATAAATAAATAAAATCTTTAAAAAAAAAAAAAAAGAAACAAAAGAATAATACGAGATGGTTCGCAGGGAAGTACCAAAGCGAGGGTGCAGATGGTTCCCTGGAGGGAGACATTACTGTGCCCCAGAGAGGTGGGGAAAATCCCGTGGGGTTGGTAAGACTAGAAGAGTAAGCAGAAAATTAAGGAGAGGTTTCAGAGACAGTGCTAAGAAAAAGGAAGTCATCCCAGGCAGGGGGAACCAAAGGGAAAGGAGAACAGATCACGATTTCTCCCTGAATCTAGAACTGTGCGGCAGGCAACAACACGCGTTAGCAACAACGCACTGCAAGGTGGGTGTGCACACAACCAGTTTCCTGGTAGGACAGACGCAGGTAGCTTCACAGTGCACCTGGAAGTTGGTTTCAACTTGAGGTTCCACTCCAGAAATCCTCATTCCCGCCCCCCTCTGTGTGGGACTGTGTGGGATGAGACTGATGTTAACTAAGCCGAGGGACCCCTGGGAGTTGAATTGACTGTCCGAGCGCACAGCGGAAGTATTTGGGCAGCTGGTGCCTCGCTGCCACAACAGTGAGGAGTGGTGTGGCCTCGGAGTTACTGTAGCTTGCCCGAATGCCTGACCTGCTCCCGGGAGTAGGTCACGTGTCACGGGAATGTGACACCCCCCCCCCCCTCGATCTGACTGACGCATTTGCAGTTCCAGGAGCCGCCTACACCGATTACGTGGCGACACGATGGTACCGAGCTCCTGAACTTCTTGTGGGAGATACGCAGTATGGTTCTTCTGTAGATGTGTGGGCCACTGGTTGCGTTTCTGCAGAGCTTCTGACGGGCCAGCCACTCTGGCCTGGAAAATCAGATGTGGACCAGCTTTATCTGATCATCAGAACACTGGGTAGGAGTTGCATTTTATGGCTTCCAGAGTTGCTCAATTGTTACAGTGATAGGACATCACTGTAATGAACAACAAGAGCTTTCTTGCTTCTCCGAAGTGCTCCTCGGTTGCTTGTGCTGGGTTGTCACCAAAGTCCAGCCATTTTCTCCATGTGGAGCCGTAACTCTGCTCAGTGAGGAGCTCTCAGGTGCCTTTCCAAGTCAAGTCAATTAGCCTTGGATAAACTATCCACTTACTTTCCCTGTCAGGCTAAGATAGGAACAAGGATGTGAGTCATCTGCACGGAACAGACTCTAAGAGATATTTGATCAAATGTCATTTCTGCCCACTGCAAAGGAGAGGTTTCCCCCCTTTACTCTAGAGCAGGGGTCAGCAGACTTTTCTATAAAGGGCCTGATGATAAATATTTTAGGTTTTGTAGGATATACTGTCTCCGTTGCAACTCTTCAACTCTGCTCCTTCGTACAGCACTTGAGAATTTACAAGTTACTTTCACACACATCATCTCTTCCAGTCTTAAGAAAAACCCATTAAGATCAGTATAACATTTTTAATTGTGCCTATGTTACAAATGAGGAAACTGAGGCTCAGGGAGCTTCCATGATTGGCCTCAAGTCCTACAAGTTACATGCAGAGCAGGAATGGGACTCAGGGGGCCTCTCTCATAAGCTTCCACCATGTGTCAGCATCCGTGGCAGTTGGAAGAGGACATGACCCAGAAGGTCGGCTGCAGCTTCACACGAAGCAGCACGGACACAAGGAAAGCGACACATCTACACACCCGATGGGTGTTTATTAATTCCTGCCTGCCCCTGGCCTGTCCCGGCAGCCCGGCTGCTGGGCGATGGAAGCACTGCTGTGTGGTCTGATGCAGGTCCCTGTTTGGTTCCAGTGCATTCTTCCGGAGAATTCTACAGCATGAAAAATGTAGGGTAGAGGAGCACCACAGGCCACACGTTCAGTATATATTGTTTGATTGATTTCCCAGAAGGACTGTGGAAATTTACATGCAGCACACATGAGACAGACCTGAGGGTGAATCCTGCGTCTGTCTCTTAATCACCATGCAAATTTAGCAGGTTATTGAACTTCTGAGCCTCATTTTGCTCATTAAAAATAGCAACTGCTGTGAGAGAGTTATGCGATCACATGTGTAAAGCCCTGAGCACGGTTTTCTGACCTCCGCGTTTGGCGGGGTGGGGGGGGTGCTGAGTGGCAGACTGAGCCGCCTGTGGTAAAGCGAGTTGCATGGGAGGCCTGCCCTGCCCTGAGGAGGCCTGTTTTTGCAGCGACTCGCTCCTCCTGAATCGGGAAGGAATGATCAGGCTCAGTATTTCTTGTGTATCTGGACCTCAGAAGTTAACCATTTAAACACTTTTATTTTTATTAAATTTGTCATGAGTTACATGGTTTGTATTTTGCAGGAAAACTAATCCCAAGACATCAATCTATCTTCAAAAGTAACCAGTTTTTCCATGGCATCAGTATTCCTGAGCCAGAAGACATGGTAAACTGCTCAATCTTGGACATTTTATTATTTGTGTTGCAACTTTCTTTAAAGGGGTATTTTTCACAATATCTGTACTTTTGGGTCCTGTTTTCCTTCTGGCACACTGAGACAGATCAAAGAAGTTATATAAAACAGCATAAATTAACCAAGAGAATGCTTTAAAAGTCTACTTGCCCTATCTAGTCAAAGATTAACTTAATGTTAAATTTGAAGCGAAACTATATTTAGTTCCTTACATAAATACCTTGATCCTTTTAGTCAAAACGCTCAGCACCTTCCCCTGAAATAATTATCTGTTGTTAAACAGTACTTACTGTAGTCTTCTCTATTTTTTCAGCTTGTAAAACAAAGCCCAAGTCCATAAAAACCATTTCTTCACAGCGGATATTTTCATGTGGAAAGTCATTCTACAAAATGACCCTCATTGTACCCAAATCAAAACTCCAGACCACACTGATCATTGCTATGCTCTTGCTGTGGTCTTTGCCTTTCTTTGGGAATGTGTCCATGACTACTTGCCGTCTTAGTCTCTACAGACATTGATCTGTCTGTGTCACCTAAGCGTGGCTATGATTTTTAAAGCTCCAAGTGGTCTAAATTCTGCCTATAGAATGAAAGGACTGTCAGAAGAGGTGTGTGCCCACATTCGGGCTGTGTGTTGGTACGAGAGTGGAGCAGGGATGGGGAAGTCTGTAAAGCCACTTCATGATTTATGGCTGTGGGAACAATCCGAGGTTCGAACAATCCCGACTATTTCTTGACACCTTGTTCATTTTAAATTCGGTATTTCATGTAATACCTTGATATATTATAGATTTCTTTCTTTTATATTTGTTAAAGCTTTTTTTTTAAGGTTTATTTATTTGAGAGAGAGAGGGCATGAATGAGCGAGTGGGAGGGTTGCAGAGAGAGAGGGAGAGAGAAGCTTTAGCAGACTTCCATGCTGAGCATGGATCCCGACCCAGGGCTCCATCCCAGGACCCTAAGATCATGACCTGAGCCGAAACCAAGAGTCAGCCGCTTAACCAATTGCACTGCCTAGACGCCCCTATGTTTGTTAAAGGCTTTAACAAATATAACAAAAGGTTAAAATTGAATTAACAAGGCTAGAGGTTGAATTACAAAAGAATATTTATGTAACAGTTTAGTTTAAATACAAATTCACAAGTACCTGGTGCCTAGTTAGGAGACTATTACCCAGGCACCTGGGTGGCTCAGTTGGTTGAGCGTCTAACTCGATCTCGGCTCAGGTCTTGATCTCAGGGTTGCGAGTTCAGGCTCTGCGTTGGGCTCCACACTGGGGGAACAGCCTACTTAAAAAAACGAAAAGAAAAGTTAAAAAAAATTTTTTAAAACATAAAGGAGACTATTACCATTATCTTTGGAGCTTCCCCTTCCCTATGTGCTCCTCCCTTGATCCCATTCTCTTCCTTCCCTACTATTCTGAATTTTGTGTTTATCATTCTCTTGCTTTCTATAGTGCTCATACACATGTAGTTCAACACATTTTCATTAATGCTCAAAGCATCCCCATAAGTAAATCTGCACAGATATTAAAGTACTGTTGTAGGGGCACCTGGGTGGCTCAGTCAGTTAAGCATCTGCCTTCGGCTTAGGTCATGATCCCAGAGTCCTGGGATCCAGTCCCACATCGGGCTCTCTGCTCAGCGGGGAGCCTGCTTCTCCCTCTGCCTCTGCCTGCAGCTCCCCCTGCTTGTGTGCGCGTGCTCTCTCTTTCTGTTAAATAAGTAAATAAAATCTTTGAAAAATAAAATAATGTTGTAGGATTTCAGGGATATTTGGAACTCACATTCACCAAGCATCAATTGCAAGATATGTAAGACATTGTGAAATTAAGAAAATAATTCCAGTTTTTGTCTTTTAAACCTTTATACTATAGTGTAAAATTATATAAAAATAGGACTTTAAAAAAAGTCCTTAAAAGGAATTATCTAACCTACTAGGGGAGGTCTTTCTCCAAAGTGTTCTTATTTCTAATATATTCAAAATAAACATAACTTTGTTGTCATGTAACATTGAAATTCTTTATTTTGTTTTCTAGGAAACTCTTGAAGAAAAGTTCTCAGATGCTCATCCCATGTCTTTGAATTTCATGCAGGTACTTAAGAATTAATTATAACCACTATTGACAGCAAATTGTAATAATTGAAGCTGGTAACTCTGGGAGGGATTGACAGTAGGGCAAATAATGCCACGTAGTCATTCAACATAATAAGGAACTGTAAAATAATTATGGTTAAAGAACATCAGTATTTGAAGTAGTAATCTTTCTAACATATCCATTAAAACTAGTCAAAGACAGAAGAGTATAATTAGAATTTGCTGTGATGAACACCATTACTTCTTTTGCATTTATTAGGAAATTTGACTGTTAAGTCAGTATATTCAGACTATGGAAATTTATGAGGATGAATGTTTGAAGGTCTAGAACTGTACTGTCCAATATGGTAGTCACTAGCTACCTATTACTGTTGAACACTTGAAATATGGCTAATTTGAATGAAGATGTACTAGATTTCTATGAAAATTACTATAAAAAAGAATATTAAATATTTCACTAAGAAGTTCTAGGATATTAATTACATGTTGAACTGATAATGTTTTAGATACATTGGGTTAAATAAAATTTAAAATCTTTTTTTGTTTTAAATTAGTAGACCAGGCAAACTCAGAGACATGCAGACACCAGATATAGCTCTTTCACTAGGCCCAAAAGAAATAGTCAGACAAAGGACAAATTCTAATAAAAAGCAGAAGAAATTCACCTATGACTAGTCTGCCATTCATGCTTGACCAACTGACCCATGCTAGAAGATGTGACTCTTACCTCCACTGTGGATACTGAAAGCTCTTAGTGGAATACGGATGGAGATATCAGTAAAGGTATCTATCTTTAGCAACCAATTAAGTTCTATCTATAGCAGTGGTTTCCATACTATTCATCAGAATGACGACTCATCAGAATGAGTTTTTTAAAAATATACATTCCAGTATCTAACCTCAGCGTTACAGAAGCAAAATCTCTCCGTATAGGACCTTGGAATTTGTATCTTTAAACATCCCTCTAGGTGACTATGGTACACAGCCTAGCTCAGAAGTCATCTGATCTAGAAGGCAGAGCCACCTGGATGACCTAGAGTCAATTGTGTAGACCTGCCATTGTGCTAATGGTGGTCACTGCCAAGGTGCTATCCAAGGTGCTGGATTCCTTTGGTCTGAGTCCTCCTGAAAGCCTGACACCTCTGTGCCCTCAGACTGCACTGACCAGCGCTTCACTGGCCCTCTGCTGCCTTCTCTCTGTCTCCCTGCTCTGACCTGCCTTAACCCAGCGCCCTGCAGGCCCTGTCCTAGAACTCCAATTTCCCAACCTTGTTCTGGACAGGTTGTTCTGACCCATCTGCAATTTAGCAAGACCTCCTGCGGGGAGGGTATCTGTCAAGCACTGCAAACCCAACCCATTCTCAGGTGTAGGCCGAGCCTTCTGCTAGTTACTTCTCTAACTAACGAGAGAGAAAACTTCCTGGAAGGCAACTCCAGGGCAGAAAAACTCCAAGGTATAGGACAAACTCCCTGTCCTCAGCTCCAAAGGTGAAGTGGCCTGTTTGTCTGCCCAGTTCTGGATGAAGCTAGTTTTGTCGCTCAACCATTTGATTTATACCTGTAATGTCTGACCTGAGACCCAAGGATTCTCTAAGTGCATCAAGGATTGTGCTGTTCCGTGGGTCACACCCTTTCTCCTAGACTTCTACCCCAGGCTAGATGAAGGAAGGCTTTCTTTCACTAATTGCAATTGAGACGTCTTTAATAATAAAAACCAGCTACTATAATAGGTAGTCATCCCATGGGACTAGGCCATCATCTATGCAGGCACCTGCTCAAATGCATGAAGTGCCAGCCAATGACGGTGCCAAAGTCAGTGGTGGCATGGAGTAGCCAATCTATGGCAGAGCTTGTGTGTTTCTCCTCATTTGGTTTTAACTGAGACAACAGACACAGTATTATTTATTTCTCAGTTGCTTTCATAGCCATAACATCCTATCACTGTATTAGTTTAATCTGGCCAAAGAAGAAGTCTGTAGGCTCTTGGAAATATTTTTAAGGCTTTTCTATTGACATCTGAAGTTTCAAGAAAAGGATCCTGACATGTACTTTGCAGTTCCAATTTCTTGTCCCTCATCATAAAAACCTTTCCTGGGTTGGGAACACTCTGATCAGGGAACACCTCTGACAATTCATCGGCCTCTAGGTGTATAGAAAGGTATTAATCCAGGCTCAACAACTCAGAAGCCTCAACTCCACCCAATTCATGTCACTGCTCCTAGAACAAAATAGGATATAGTTCTAGCCCAGGCCCAAGGAAGAGCTCAGCATTAGCAGCTTATTCTTAGAATCTAAAAATGTTCTTTAAACTAAAAACCCATAGGTATTTAGTAGACCAGATTTCAATAGATTGAAAGCCCATTAAAGAAAATGAATGAATTCAACATATGATTGGAAATAAAACTGATAGGACTTCGTTATGATTCAGATCTGGGGAGTGAGTAGAGGAGGGCGGCAACCATGAGATATCTGTACCAGTTTCCTAGAGCTGTTGTAACAAAGTGCCACAAACTGGGTGACTGCAAGCAACAGAAATTTATTCTCACAATTCTGATGACTAGAAGACTCAAATCAAGATGTTGACAGGGCCACGCTCTCTGAAGCTTTTAGGGTGGATCCTTCCTGGCCTCTACCAGCTTCTGTTAGCCCCAGACATTCTTGAGCTTATGACAGAACTCCAATTTCTGTCTCTGTCTTCTGGTGTTTTCTCGATGTCTGTCTTTGTAGTGTCTTCCCTCTTGTAAGAACACCATCCCATTGGATTAGGGCCCACCCTATTCCAGTATGACCTTATCTTAACCATTTACATTTGCAAAGACCCTATTTCCAAATAAGATCACATGATGAGGTATTGGGGGTTAGGATTTCAACATAGTCAATCAGTAACAGTGCCCTTGAGACAAATCAGAACTGTTAAGTAGGCCACTGCATATGTGGGTCTGGAGTTCAAAGGAGAGGTCTGGACCAGAAATATACATGTGGAAGTCCCTGATAAACCTTAATAATTGAAGACTTAAGAATCAGTGCGATTAGCTAGAAACAGAGAGGAGAAAGGAGAGCCTAGGACTGAGCCTGGAGGAGTTCCACCCACCCATTGTGGAGAAGGTAAACTAACACAGGCTGGTTTGAGAAGGGGTGGTCACGAGGTAAGGAGAAGGAAAGGGAGGCATCAAGAAGCCAAGGGAAGTTTCAAGGAGGAAGATGTGGTCAGTCGCGTCTAACACTGGAGATGAGAACACGACCTACCTATTGGATTTATGAATATGGAAGTCATAGGTATGAACAACAGGAGTCACTTAAGTGGAATGATGGAGGCAAAAGCCAGAACGAAGTGATGAAGAAATAGACCACTACTGTTTATATTCAGAATCCTGGAATATCAGTTTTTCTGTGCTGGTTACAGTCCTGACAGTGTTAGGCTTTGAGGAGACAGACCCCCAATAGCAGTTAGACTTAATTATGGTATGGATCATTAACATGAGGGTGGGGTGGGATCTGCTTGGAGCAGGTGACGCTCTGAAGGGACAGGTGAATCTGATTATGCTGATTATGCCGAGTAGGGTTGTTACTTAAAGCCAGGTCCAATCAGACACGGCTCTGAAGGGCAGGTGAGACTATAGGGGTGGCAGCATTTGCAGGGATCTCAGAGACCTAAGGTCAGCTGGGGTTAGGGAGGAATGGACACGACAGGGCAGCCTCAGTCAAAATAATTATCTGGACACCCAAATGCCTCAAACTAAGTCTGTTATGTTGATAAGTTTTACTTCTCTTTCATGGCCGTAAGGCAGGAAATTTCAGGTCTCCTGTGCCGGGGTGTTCTAAGGCTGTTCTAATTTCTTATGGATCATAATCTGTCTTTCTTCATGGGAAAAGCCCCATTCTCTGGCCAAAGAGCATCAGGGCTTCTTGAAGAAAATCTTTGTGACGGGACTCCACCAGCCCCGCTGCTGCCAGAGTCCTCCCTTCTCTTGGAGGCAAAGCTAGAGGCTTCTAGTAGCCTCTAGTAGCCCTAGCCCTCCCCCAGTGCTTTTGACTGATCAGGAACTGCATTTACAACAAGTTCCCAGGTAATGCTGATGCAGCTGGTCCTGGGATCACGCTCGGGATCACACTTGAAGTGTCACGCAAACTATGTGCTTTGACAAGTGATGAAGAGGTGTCATTGGTAGAAACATCTGATCTACGGGATGCCTGGGTGGCTCAGTCAGTTGAGTGTCTGCCTTCAGCTCAGGTCATGATCCCCACATTGGGCTCCCTGCTCAGCGGGGAGTCTGCTTCTCCCTCTCCCTTTGCCTGCCCCTCCCCCTGCTTGTGCTCTGTATCTCTCTCTGACAAATAAATGAAATCTTTGGGGGAATAAAGAAACATCTGCTCTAGTTGTAGCCCCCTTCCAGGGACACTGAATGTTCAGTTCTACCCTCAAGACTTTGAAATGGCAAAAGAAAAGCAATTCTAGTTATTAACAAGTTTCAAGTACTTGGTAATATACAAACCTGAAGATTTTCTAAACTCCTATTTGCTCTAACAAGTTTTTCAGTTTCAGGTCACAGTAACAAAATAGGCCCCCCTTTTAATACTTTCTTTTCTTCCAAAGGAGTGTCTGAAGATGAATCCTGATGACAGATTAACCTGTGCCCAACTCCTGGAGAGCCCCTACTTTGATTCTTTTCACGAGGACCAAATTAAAAGAAAAGCACGTACTGAAGTAAGAAACAGAAGACGCCAGCAGGTACCTCTGTTCAAAAGTTAAAGTGCTATAAAAATGATTCTTTTTTTTTTCTTTTTCTACTTTTCAAAGTGAGACTAGGTAGACACCAAGACCTTTCTTTGCACTGGTTTAGTTGTATTTGTTTATCTTAATAAATTCTGGTGATTGATGTAATAAAACCATAAAACTATGAAAATATCCAAATTTGTTGCAAAATCTTATTCCAAATATACTTGAATCAAAGTATTGCTCAACTTTTTGCCATGCTGATTGGATAGTTCATATACCCAAAATACAACAACTTCATACAATAAAACCCTGGTTACAGCAGGACTGAGTTTGAACGTTACCAAGGAAAGCCCAGGACCCTCTCTTGCCTCCAGACACACCATAAAGGAAACTCAACTCTTCCCATCTTTTTACCGATGGCAGGCACCTAAGCCTGCCTTCCCTAAGCTTTTCCTCAAAACCAAGGACAAGCTCTGGCAAATACTAAGAGATGAAACTCAAACGCCTAAGAACCAAATTCTATCCTAAAATGTGCCAGTATAGTAGAATAATATGATGAATATGACAAACCTTGATTCTGCAGTTTCTTAGGTGACTGTTGCTTTACTTGGTTTCAGAAAAACTTTGAGGTTAAATCATAAACCCCACGGAAGTAGGTTTGTTTTGGTTTGGGGTTTATTTTTCATCTTGTGTCCCCAGCACCTAAAACAGTGTCTGACCTATAGAAGGTACTCGTTAAATATTATCCAAATAAATAAATAGCTGAACATTGCTTATTAATAAACAAAGATGTAACTTTCAAGTTACCAGACAGACAATCATCCCATTCTATGTTTGCTTCAGCTTCCACCTTTGATCTACTTATTGGTCATTTATCTTCTCATTAGCATGTCTACCATAAAGGAAGAAAGCAGGTGGTGGTTGGTTTTTTTCCACCATTTTAATAATTAAAATTGAAGTTTTTTGAGAGAGAAAGATCAAACTAACCAACAAGACGACATGTTAAGGTGATTTTCAAATTTTTACTACATAGACCATTTTATCTTTTACTGTTTTAAGTTATGCGTTTGCAAGTCAAGCCCAATGCACTTTACTTAACCAAAAGATTAGGGTTTGCTCAAATAAGTCTGAGGCAGCAGTTTGAAATACAGGGTGAATTGTGTGTAAAAACACTGTCTCCTTAAAAAAAACATGTCACCAGATTCCCCCCGCTTGGCCTGGGAGGGTGAAGAGCAGCAGTACCCCATCCTGGCCCTCGGTTCCTGACTGCGCTTTTACCAGCCTCGCCTTGAGGAGGTGCCGATGCTCCTCTCCCTGGGAGTCTCCCGTTCACAGCTGTGTTCCCCATTCCTTCATACCCCATAGCCCAGCTGATGCAGATCGGGAACTTTATTTCTCCAAAAGGAAAAGAAGCACAAAGAGCAGCATAGACCTAGATAATCTCATTTACAGAACTCAGGTCATGTTCTCAGTCCTTCATCAACTGCATCCTCTCCCACTTCAGGAGGAAGCCTTACTAGAGCCCCCACCATTGAGACCATGGCTAAGCATCTCCAGCCACCAGGTGAAGTCTCTGGAGAGAAAGGCAGGGATGTCTTTCAGGTTCTGGTTTTCTTTCTGAACATGAGCCTCTTCCCTAAACATTTTATCGTATCAGAAAATAAACTAAAAATTCAAAAAGATCTTTCCATTCAATGTGGTTTCACTTTGTGAGTTCAAATTTCCCCCTGGATACCAACTTCTAGATCCCTGAGTGAGTAACCAACAATTTCCTTAAGACTAAATATTGTTTAAAATTGATAGTAAAGAGGTTTTAAATCTTTACTGTTCTGTCAAATATCCTAAAATTAATATCCTAAAATTAAAAATTTAAGATAGGTAGAATGTAGACTCTTGAAATTATTGTCTAAAAGCTGGGGGGCATCTAACTTTTAAACACGGACTAGATACTCAGAGATAAACATACTGAAATAAATCAACTACATCCATGAGAATCCTAGAATAAGTAATAGAACCTAATTTTCAAGTATCAGAATATCACAATTTTTGGAAAGGTAACCCTATTTGATTTTAAATTGATGTCTTTTGACATCTTTGTATCATATGTATCCTTTTTGTTTTGCCATCTTTAAATCAAATTGTACAAATAGGAATTCTTTTCCATTTACTTTCTTATTTTTGTCTTGTTCTGCTATTAGAATCAACTGTTGCCTCTCATACCAGGAAGCCACATCTCCCCCACACCTGATGGAAGAAAACAAGTCCTCCAGTTAAAATTTGATCATCTTCCAAACATTTAGGAAAATGTTCTTTCAAGTGGAAAGTAATTTAATATGTACACATTTTTGTACAAAAGAGATAGGAATTCTCAGTGTTTCAAGTGCAAATGAGCCATATGAAAATTAAGATGCCTTCTAGAATTGTTTTGCTCTGATCATTACTGATTCCTCTGCCCGTGCTTTTTACATGCCAACTTTATCTTTTAGAACATTTTCTTTAAATGTTATAGAGTCTGAAACTGCACATATGGAGGAGACATTTCCATTTCATCAGAGCAGCCCCTCCCGAGGCAATTTATAGTGAGAGTTTGTGGGCTTGTACATTGATTGTTGGAAAAGATTTACATATGTTATTTTGGTTTACCTGACCACATAATGTCTTAGAGCATTATCAAATAGCTTGCCTAGCTGTTTTTGTGTAAGGAATGACATTATGTTTCTGCATTTTAATTCACGCTTACTGTAACCAGGTCTGTTGAGTAATGCTGAATTTTATATTGGTGTAGGAAGGGAACCTTGAAATGTCATGTAGGTTTATCCCTCGATTCCAGGGCAGACTCTACTTTGTCTCATGAGACACTGACGATTCTAATTTTAAAGCAAGTCAGAGAAAATTCCATACATTTACATAGCAAATAAGGAACTACAAGGAATTACCATCCTCATGACATAATGCCCAATGATAACCGACTGCTGACTCTAATGCTGTCCTTTGGAACATCATCGTTTCTTATTCTTTTTCCTGGCTCGATCATCTCAGTGCCTAGATGTATCCTGTTGGGTGCGTGTCCTAAATATTTAGTTCACAGTCGATATTCTTCCAAACCTTTGAATCCATAGCCTGTGTGAACTTGTGCAGCCCTAAACTTGTGTATCATGAGCAGATCAGGTTTGTAAGTGCTTCCAACAACAGAAAGATTGTCGTTCAGTTAACTTCTTTGTGTCTCCTACCAAAAAGAGGAAGCAAACAAACAAAACACCACAGTAGGTAAGCCCCGTTTACACTGGGATATTTTCCCAAGTACACTTGACAGATACACCTAAATACATACATACATATGTACACATATATACATATATGTTTATAAGTTTTGAAACATCATGATAGATGCCTTTTATCTTAGACATCAAAGAATGAGGCAGTCTGTTTAAAGGGCTTTTCGTTTGCTAGCAAGGAACTCATGTAAAATAATAGCATGGGGTTGTCTATCACTGCCTGGCATAAAGGCACAAAATAGTGATGTTTCAATAACTATTAAGATTATTTCATTAACTCTTTTCTGCTCCTGGGTCTGGCATGCTTACCTGAACGTTGTCAAATTTTGCAAATACACATAATTCCAAGAAATGCCATGTATCTGGCACTATACGCCAAGCATAAATTGTTTTTAGGAAATCACACTAACATCTTCTGTTCACCTCTAAAAGTTTATTGCACTTATAAACATGGTTGTGGAAACTGCTAGAGAATCTTGTTCAGTTATTCGGGAGGAGCATCTCTTTACTTAGGAATTATGGCATCTCAACAGGGGTTTCTTGCTCACTGGAAGGACATTCTAAATGGGCTTATTTGGCCATTTAACATGCTTAGCGTGACTCTAAGCTTCTTTGGTCTTCCTCTTGTCATTTTATCATCAAGAATGTGCCTCTTCAGATTTGTATGTTTCTTGCGTTTTTAATTAAATGATGCCACAGGAGCAAGGAAAATGAGAAATAAAAGATAAACGGCAACTTTGCTGAAAGATTTCTTTTTAACTTCCATAGTGTTTTTATCATGTAAGCCTTCTTTCTTTTTTTTTTAAAGATTTTATTTATTTATTCGACAGAGAGAGACATAGCGAGAGAGGGAACACAAGCAGGGGGAGTGGGAGAGGGAGAAGCAGGCTTCCCGCGGAGCAGGGAGCCCGATGCGGGGCTCGATGCGGGGCTCGATGCGGGGCTCGATGCGGGGCTCGATGCGGGGCTCGATGCGGGGCTCGATCTCAGGACCCTGGGATCACGACCTGAGCCAAAGGCAGACACTTAACGACTGAGCCACCCAGGCGCTCCTCATGTAAGCCTTCTTATTGCCAAACTACTCATCCTGCTCCAGCTCTCCTAAATTACATTACACACACACACACAGACAAACACACTCAGAAATTCAGAACACAGCACACAACTCCAGTTCCCATTTTGCTTATAATCATGCTTCAAACGGTTGATAGGGTGACTGTCATTTCTTAGTTTTGCTTACATTTAAGAATTACTGCAAACTGGCGTTCTTCTCTCTCAATTTTTTTTTCCATAGACAAATCCATCATTTAGAGATCACTGGGGAGGGGGAAAGAGGAGAAAGCATCTAATGCTTAGGAAAGTGCTCTGTTGCAGTCCTTTTACCATGAAGAAAAACAATCATCCGAGTAACATTTGCACACTGGCCCTTTCCCTGGGCGACCCGCCTCGGAATCACGCAGGCGCACAGACCTCAACCTACAACTCTTTTCTGTTTTAAGTGCCTGTTTCTCACTTCGGTGCTGCACGGACTCCCTTGCACTTCTCAGCCACATGGAAGATAGGTGCGCTTCAGCATGTAGTGCCCAAATTAAGTAATGACTTCTGTAAAACTCAGCGGGCTCTTCACAGAAGCCCACACGGTTCTGTAACCACGCATTTCCTTTACATTCTTGTGAGGTTTCTGGCTCACCTGTGACTTGTCTCACCCGTGCCAGCTTTCAAGCTTTTTAATTTATGTATATAGCTCTTTCCTGGTGCCGTCCAAGTATTGAGCCATCATGGTGAGCAGCACCACCTGAATGCTCCGCCCTCTCCACTCCCAGGCGTGATCGCTTCGCACCCTGGTTTCCCCAGACTTTCCACATCGTACCTGAGAATCTCCAAGCAGCCAAGCCGTTCGTTTTATTTGGTTTGCAGAGCACTTCACGGAGAATTGAAAATGCGGACTTTAGTTCCTGCTGCTGCTTCAGGGAAGAAGGAAATAAATACACCGTAGAAAGGCCGTTTCATTAGACCTTTATCAGCCCTGGGAGTCTGCTTGCTTGGACTCTGCCTTTGGGCTCCTTTCAGTCCTGGTCCTATTCGACCGCACTTGTTCCAACTTGCCCCCAGCCACAAAGCCCTTTTAGGGGGTCGCTTTTGGGGATTATTTTAACTAGACTGAATTGTCAAAAAATTGTATTCAAGAGGTTTTTGCATGCTTTGGATTAGGGAGATAATTGAGGAAGGGGTGCAGACAAAGCTCTCAGGCAGGAAAGAAAGAGGTGAGCAGAGAGCAGACTATCCCCCTTCTAAGTCAGCCATATCACGGCTCGTCATTGCTCTGCAGATCTCCCAAACTACAAGACCTAAGAAAATTAGTAAGTTATTTTGAAAAAATTCTCAACTCTGAAGATTTTTTGTGGTTCTTTAGCTTACTTGCCATGGAATTACAGTTGTTCAAAAAGATGGCACTTTCTTATTCATTTGTCACTACCAATGATTTCCAATCCTGGTTTCGGAACAACTTGAATGGCACAGAATTCTCAAAAGAAAAAACAAAACAACAACAAAAAGACCAAAAAACTTTTTTTTGTTAATTAAAACATACTACCAGAAGAGGAATGATCGTACAACTGCACAAACCTTAAAATCTTTTTTTTTTTTTAAGATTTTATTTATTTATTTGAGACAGAGAGAATGAGAGACAGAGAGCACGAGAGGGGGGAGGGTCAGAGGGAGAAGCAGACTCCCCGCCGAGCAGGGAGCCCGATGCGGGACTCGATCCCGGGACTCCAGGATCATGACGGAGCCGAAGGCAGTCGCTTAACCGACTGAGCCACCCAGGCGCCCAGCACAAACCTTAAAATCTTGAAAAAATTGGGGAGTCAGTATAAGTATTAACTGAATCACAGATTCTGATTTATAATGCATACGTATGCATTACGTATAAATTTGTGATGCATACAATTAAGACATAAAGATAAAATGCCACACACAATAAAGTAATGTTCTGGGTGTGTGTGTATGTGTGTGTGAGTGTGGGTGTTTGTTTCCTAATAAAATCATGAACTCATCAACTTCATTCTTGTTTTAGTAGAAGACAAAGTCTTTACCAGTGGTAGGTTAAAGAATAATAGACTTATCATTTGGTCTGGGCGTTAGGACACCAGGTTCTTGACTGGCCTGCAATTCTCCGTGTAGCCTTGTCACAACGTTTAACTGTTCTGTGCCTTCATTTTCTCATTTGAAAAATAAAGGAAGAGATAAGCTAGGTGATTTCTAGGGCTCCCATTCAGCTGTGGACTTCTATGATTCTCCATAGCACATGGCATTTCCGTCCTGGACATTTCTCCCACTAGAAGAGGCTTTCTAGAGAGGAGCTAGATCTCTCTCTCTCTCTCTGTGTCTCTGTCTCTCCCCTTCTCCCTCCCCATCTCTCATCTCTCCCTCGCTTGCTTGCTTTCACACTCACACACACACATACACACAACCACTCCCTGCTAGTTCTATCACGTCAATAGTTTGCAGACAACTAATGGAGGTTCAATTGTATAAACTAGAGTGGATTTTAAAGCTAATTATCACTAAATTTTAATTAAATAAAACAGGTGTGCTTTTAAAATGCAGAGTAATATGTAATCATTCTTTGATGTTTTAATATATAACTCTAATTAGCTGGGAAATGATACATATGCTGTGAAATACTAATTTAAGATCTCCATTAAGGCAAAGAACACTGAGGACATTTCTAACTTCAGCAAAACTTTTAATGCTTTCAGTAAATGGTAACTTAAGGGAATTCTACAAATATGTCTAAATTATACCAGTTTTATATTTGAGCAGCAGAGACTCAGTTTCAGTCTACTTTATATTTAACCTGTAATCTACTCAAGCTGAGATTTGGTTATCGTACTTAACAGGAGTAGAAACAACTTGTATTTATTAAAGTTACAATTTTTCTTTTCTGTTGTGAACACTAGTCACTGACCATGTCTCTCAATACTGTCACATTGAAGATTTTAGAATCTATTAGTAGAGAAGCAGGTCTATTTCAAACCTCGTGAACTTGTAGCTGTAATATTAATTAGCACACAATAATTAGCATAATGACAACTTATACCGCAGAAACAATTCACTACAAAGCAGTTTTAGTTATTAGGTTAAATATACGTAATATTTTAAAAATTTAGCTGAAGATGTTTGGAAAACCTAAATATGGGCTTAAATACTTTGGTGACCTTACATTTGTATATATAACTCAACCTGAATATGTTCTTTAGTTTATTTTAATAAAAGTTAGAAATATTTCTGTCTCCTTATTTCTGTTCAACTCACCTATTAGTCCATTGCCTAATATTTTGTATTTAAATGAGAAGAACTGTCATATTCACATATAAACTTCAGAACTTGTTATTTCATTTCCTCTCAGTTGGACTGTTTGAACAGTTGGTATAGCAACTCTTCCTTTTTGTGCCTTGAGTTGGCAATTTTCACAAATGGAAAAACTAAGAAAATCTTTTCCAGTCCAACCCAATAGATGCTTATTCCTGAGAACATTTACTTTGAGGCTATAAGATTTTTTTTCTTTCAATTCATCAAAATATTTCTCTGGCCCTTCCCAATACATAAGCTACAAAATATGAAATTTTCTTGCAACTTCGATTCCAAATCGTCACAGTAGTTTCTGTTGTGGGTTTAAAAAGTTGAAGAGTCTCAAAGACCAAACTTAGACCAATGATCAAAAGAGAGAAAAACAATTAGTAAAATAATGAATGAGGTCATTATTTAAAGATGCTTCATTTTTTAAATTTTCTCTTGAACTAATCTTTCTGCTTTCATTATTTTTAATAGTGCTGTGTTGAGAGAGTATAGTAGATTCTTTCCAACGCTGACTGCAAGGATTTCTCCCATCCCAAGGCCTTTTGCAATGACACTTTGCCATTCCTTTTATCAAGAGGTGAAGTCTCCCTCCCTTCTCCTCACCTTGTGACTAGTGACTTCCTTAGACAAAGAGAATGCAGCAGATGTTCCACTGTGCTATTTTGGGGCCTAGGTCGTGAAAGGCCTGGCAACTTCTGCTTTCTCTCTCTGGGGAAGCCAGCCACCATGCTGTAAAGAAGCTTAGACTAGACCTCCAGATGACAAGATACCCTATGAAGAGAAAGAGGCCACAGGAGGAACACCAAGGGGCCAGTAAAGCCTTCTTGGACTTTCCAACTCAGTGCAGCCACCAGCTGAATATAGCCAAATAAGTGAGACCAGCATAACTGCCCAGCTGTGCCCAGCCCACCCACAAAATTATGAGAATAAATTGTTTTCAGCCACTACGTTTTGGGATGATTTGTTTTGTAGCAGTGATAACTGAAAAGAGTATGTTTCTCAGTTGCATACCACTGAAGTTGAGAAGCATGTTCGCAAACAATAATCACACTTAAAGTTAGGCAGGGATCTGATGTTCTTTTATATAGAACTATACACTGGAGGAAATCTGAAAATCATTCTTCCCTACCACACATTGGCCTCTTTCTTTGGATTCTATTTATTTTAGTCAAGGCTACTATCCTTCCAAAGAGGACATCATCTCCTCATAAAACATATATAACTATCCTATGCAGGAAATCTAAAACACCGTAATGAAGAAATGATCCAAACATTGGATTTTACCAAATACATGAGTACATTCTTGGTGGAAATTTACTTGCTCTCTTAAAGTGGCCTAAGAGGAACTGCAAGGAAAAAATATTCATGTCTGTGTTAGATAACTGGATAGATGCCAAACTATTCATTTTCTACCTTTTGCCCAAAAAAAGAATCAGCCAGTTTGGGTCCTGGTGGGTGTTTTTAACCAGTGCTCCTCATGTACCCTCCCATTCAGCAGACATCAGCTAGTGATCATCTTCTGTGCTCTTAGGGAAAAGGCTTATCTAATTGCACGAAAAGAGCTTCTCCTCATTCAAAAAGGTCTCTAGCACCTTTGAGTATTCAGGATGACTGGTTTCACTGTCTTTCCACATTTTCCCTCTCTGAACCAGAAAGACATCCAACCACAAGTCATATTTTGGCTTTGCCACTTCCAGGTCATGACCTTTGATCATCAGTGTCTTCAACTCTACAGTGAGAATAATAACACTTACCTGAAATGAGAATCCTAACACCTGAGGTTGTTAAAAGTATTACATGAAATGATGATGTTAATGTGCTTTGTATAGAAAGAGCTATATAATGATTGATTATTTTATTACCCTCTAGAACTTTGGGAATATATTAACTTTTTCATTAATTGTGGTCCTTTGAAGGAAATCCGTAGAATATTTTTTAGTTTGACTATTTCATTTATTACTTCTTTTTTTTTTTTTTTTTTTGAGAGACAGAGAGCATGAGAGGGAGGAGGGTCAGAGGGAGAAGCAGACTCCCTACTGAGCAGGGAGTCCGACGTGGGACTCGATCCTGGGATTCCAGGATCATGACCTGAGCCGAAGGCAGTCGTTTAACCAGCTGAGCCACCCAGGGGCGCCCCTATTACTTTTTAATTGAAGTATAGTTGACATACAATACTATATTAGTCTCAGGTGTACAACAACAGAGTGATTCGACATTTATATACAGTTCAAAATGTTCATCACAGTAAGTGTATTACCAGCTGTCACCATAAAAGTCATTATATTATTGACTATATTCCCTATGCTGTACTTTTCATCCCCATGACTTATTTATTTTGTAGCTAGAAATCTGTACTTCTTAATCCCTTTCACCTATTTTGCCCATCCCCCACCATGCTCCCCTCTGGCAACCATCTAGACTTTTTTTTAAAACAGTGGTTGCCATGTTTCCTCCCAAAAAGGTGTGAGACCTCATCCTCCTCAATTGCTCGTATCTTCTTTTTTTTTTTTTAAGATTTTATTTATTTATTTGACAGAGACAGAGATAGCGAGAGCAGGAATACAAGCAGGGGGAGTGGGAGAGGGAGAAGCAGACCCCCTGCCAAGCCAGGAGCCCGATGTGGGGCTCGATCCCAGGACCCTGGGATCATGACCTGAGCCAAAGGCAGATGCTTAACAACTGAGCCACCCAGGCGCCCAATTGCTCATATCTTCTATGTAATGACTTTTGCATTTCCAACATGAAAAGGCCCTTATCTTCCAGCAGACAAAAATGTCAAGTTTTTCTCTGTATCAGTTGAATTTATTGATATTATTGAAAATGTTTGCTTATTGTTAGCAAACACTATCAAGTCATCAAGTACTGGGTAGACACAGAAGAAAATAAGCCCTCAAGGGAATATATAGCCTCCAAGAAGAAACAGCCTGATGGAGTTGGCCACAAATTAAGACCTCACCAGAAAATTTAGAGAAGACATCAACATCAGCATCATGAGAAAATCTGACCAGAACTCCCAAGAGATTTCCTGAGGGGTTGGAATCATCAGAGATAGAAGAATTGGCTGGGGAGGTACAACTAAATGTTGATGAAAAAGCATTTTCGTTATGGGAATACACAAAACAAATTTAATACTGTGTTTGTCCAAAAAAAAAAAAAAAATTGTGTTTGTCCAGCATGATTAGCTACTGGAAGTTCAGCTAGAGAAAAAAGCAGGAGACGTATGTTAGAGACACGAGTCTTAATGTGTGTGTTCTAGCAACCGAAATCCTATGAACAATTTGTATTTGTGAGGCAGTGGGGCAGTACTGTGAGTGAGAAGAAAAGTCAGTCCTAATCTTGGAGAAATGCTTGCTGTGAGAGGAAAAAAAGAAAAGGAGAGGAACTGTCAGGAGTGCATCTAGGGGAAGAATTGGCATTTGTCACTTGTCCTGCCACCATCCCCATCTCAAGATCACCTTTCCACCATTCCTCCCTTCCTCTTTCAGAATTATCCTCCTTTCTACTACCTGAAATTTTCAGGTCAGAGAAAATCATACTGTATTTAATCTTACGAATATAAGAACCCCTGTAAAATACCAGCCCTACCTTATATAAACTAAATTTGAAAATAATCTTGGATTGAATTCAAACAAATCTCTAAAATGTATTTGTTTTAGAGGGACACCTGGTTGGCTCAATCAGTAGAGCATGCAACTCTTGATCTAAGGGTCATGACTTCAAGTCCCACATTGGGTGTAGAGCTTACTTAAAAAAAAAAAATACACACACACACACATTTGTCTTAGAGACTGACTTCTCTTTAGATGCCATACTCTTCGTTCTTCCGTTAATGTGATCACATTTAGAAGAAAAATCCCTCGCCAAAATTGATTCCATCAAATGCTCCCTCTAAATCACAGGTTCTCAGCCATTCGTTGGCTTCAAGAGATCCATTGGAAGTCCCCTCTTCCATTTCCAAATCCAGATTTTATAATGTAACTCGGGGCTACTGTCGCCCCAAACTCCAGGAAGTTCTGTTGGGTTAACATCTAGACCACTCCTAGTACTTCCAACCAGGACAAGGACCTCTTCCCTCTTGCCCTGGTACTCCCCAGTTTGCCTGTCCCTGCATCTAGAGCCTTTACACTTGAAAGAGAGCAAGACCATGACTAATTCTGCCCAGAGGCTGACTGGCCTAGAAGAGATAAAAATCTCTTCCTCATTCTACTTGAAATATTTAACATTTAGAAAGGCATCTGGGTTCCAGAGTAATCCCACCGAGATTAGGGAGATAAAGTCCCAGTTCTGATTTTTATGTGAATTTGTTTAAAGGAATAGCTTTCCCAAGAGCTATTCGTCATCAGCATGCTGAGAAAAATGGGCATGTGGGCTGCCATGGGGGGCACTATTGACTGGCTGGAGGGCAGCATCAGAGCCCCGGCCTCTCTTCAGGGCTTGGAGTGGAGGCCACCACAGGGGGTAAGAAATGGAGGTGGAAATAGGCCGACAGCAAACTGTGGGCTTCACCAATGTTACTAGTGCCGAGCCCGGCCATCATTTCTTACAAAAACCATGCACCAGAGCTGTGCAGGCAAGGAGAAACAGCATGAGGCAGGGCTCTAGAGCCAACCCCACTGCAAACTGCACTGTGCTAAACATGTTCTCTTGTGTCTCTCTGGCCTCTCAGTCAGTAATAAGGAGTAGTCAAGCTCGATGTTTTTAAGGATCCTTCTGGCTATGAGAGTTTGTGAAATGATACAAACAACTGTCATTATTCTCTTGTCCTGTACCTGTGTCCTCCTTCCGTCCTTTTCTCAGGTCTGTTACAGATTGAATAGAGAGGTGAGGACAGAGCAAGAGCCTAGCTAGGGATCATGCTCTGTCTGCTTCACAAGGAAGGGACTAGTCCTGTGTCCTCCCACCTTCCCGGTCTACTTTAAGATCGC